ATATTTCCCAGTGAACGAGGTTACCAAAGGTCTGAAATAAACCAGAGATTAACTGATGAGTTTACTTTTCAGTTAAATAAAACCAGGAAAAGCCCTTAAAATGTTGGTTTTGGTTAAAAGAAAAAAGTGAGTGAGTAGGGTAAGCCTACTCAGAGGCTGTTCAGGACAAGCACGCATACTTGAGTGTCAGAAGATAAGCGGTGCCCATCCATGGGGACAGACACGTTGCAGGGAAAGAAAATTGCAAAAGTTACATAGTTTCACTTACTCAGATGGAAGTTGAAAGCTAAACGGAAATTCATGTTTTCCAGGCTGTAATAAGAGGATGCTTTCGCCTAAAAAAGAACACATTTTATTTTAACTAATGTTAGTATCAGATCAAGAATTTTCACAACCTCAATCAATTTCTTAAAAGGTGATTTTCCTGGCTATAAGATCCAGTATACCCACAAAAGTTCATTTCACCGAGATTTAGAGAATTAAAATTTGAATCTGTTTGTATGAAGTTTAATCAGTTAGAAACCACAGACGGTGCTTCTATCTTCAAATAGACCAGTTATACAAGTAATTACCATTATATGTCAGAGTCCTGAGCTCTCATATACATATGTATGCATACACACACACGTATACATACACACGTGTGTATACACACAAACATGTTTACCCGACTCTTACATGAGATAACAACATTAAATTGGACCTACAACTAATTAGGAAAAAACAGATCTACCTATTTTGGGTATACCACAAAAATCAGATACTGTACTCTTCGGGCAGAGATGGAAAAGGAGGTGAAAAATTTACTTGGAATATCATGAATACTGAGTATAACACTAAACAGCCAAACCAACAGGATAAGTTATTAAACAAGAGCCATGTATTTACACTCAAGCTCTACTGATTAATAGGGTATCCTGGTGGTTAATTTGGGATCTAGAACGGGCTTTGCCAAGCACGCCCCTGACTCCTTTCCTCCTGCTCTGGGTCAGCCAGCTCCATTTTATTTCATGCAGAGACTGATTCCTGATTGTGAGAAGGCCAAGATGCAAGGTGTGGACAGACTGTGCAAGGCCAGAGGCATTGCTGGAGCTCTGATGAATGCACAGAGCAAATCTGTACCATTCAGATCCAAAGCCAACGCCAGGGCTGTCAGTGGCCGTCAGGCATCTCTCCAGAGATACTTACAAACTTTCCCTTCCTTTCATGCTCACAGATTTACGTTTACAACTAAATTCTCTCATCAAGAGTGGGATGATTAAGATGAAGAAAAGGCAGCGCAGACTGAGAACTTTCTCTGAGATATGCCTGGTCCCTTGATACTAAAATAGATTTCTACTGCATCCATTCACTTAAAAAATTTTTAAAGGGCAGAAATCACTTAAATGCTAAAATTCTAAGACCTTAATTCAGTTCACATTTCAACCTTGTACTTTTAGAAAACAGGAACGCATTATTGGCCCATTAAGTCTTCTGAATCTATCCCCAAGTTTCAATGTGTAATATATTGGGGGAAAAAAAACCAAACCAAGTATTTGCCACTTAAGGTCATTCAAATAGAACTACTCCACAGATGGGTGACTTGGAGGCAAAACAAGCCACAGGGACGTGAGACCATGCCAAATGACAATGTCAGAGTGAGCCCCCGGGGCTCAGCTGTGCCCAGGAGCTGCCCCGTGAGCCCCAGCAGAGCAGCGCCACCTCTCCACTGTATAGCTGTTGAGTGAGGGGCTCAAGGCAATCCCCGTGCTCATGAGAGAGCGGGGCAAAAATTCTAATTTGTAATCATTACATTACTGAATTCGACAAAGTACTTTACAATGTTTAAAAATGTGGATTTCGTTTGAGTTCAAAATTTATAGTATTTAGACGTCAGGCACTGTGGATATACAGATGAATAACTTCAATCCTCAAACAGACCCGAGGGAGGAAAGCAGACGCTTGTACACAAGTAATGACCACAGAGCGCTGGAGCCAGCTGGGGCGGGGCAGCTGGCACCTTAAGGACGAAGCCCACAGTGGTCATGAGGGTCTGCATGGAGATGAGTGGAAAGGGGTTTAGATGAAGTGAACAGCCTCAGGCAGGGCAGGATGTGCACGTGTGGAGGAGAAACTGCCCAGGATATTGAAAGAGGATGAGAGAGAGAAGTTCCCTCTGCATAGAAAAAACAAGAACTACAGGAACTGTAACCTTTAACATGAGAATTTCAATCACCGGAAAACATAAACAGGAAAAAAAAAAAACCTTGAGAAAGCTGAAAAACATGGGTTATAATATTTGGAATCAAATCTTTATTTTCATTCATTCATTCATTCATTTATAATTAAAAAGGTTCATGAACTGAATTATGTGCCCATTTCTGCTTCTGTATTTATGGCTCATTGCTTCTGCCGTATGCACTGAGGACTACCACAGCACAGGCAGACGTTTCATTCCCAACCCATCTGAGAGCCAAATCTTGTAATTCAGGGCACCCCTAAGCTGTGGGAGCTAGAAGACCATTACAGAGTTAGGGACTGGGGCTCAGGAAGGATGAGGGACTCATGAAACATCATACTGCTGGTGGGTGACCAAGAACTGCAACCAACTCTCTGGTCTGTTTTATCTCTCTACCACAATTCCTCAATAAAAATAGGAAGAAAATCAATCACAAGTATAGCAAGTAGTTGGGTTAGACTAACAATGCCAAAGGATTATCTGGGGAGATACTCTGAAAATGGATCCCAAAGCCACCCTCCTGAACATCTAAAAATTCTAAAGATCTCTTCAGGTGACTGAAACAGCTAGGTGTTGGAATCAAATGACCCTGAGAATCTATGACAATGTAAAGTTGCTAGGTTCTTCCAAGCTACAGATATTAGGAGGTACCTTTTTTCTCAATGAAGTCAACTAAAACAGACTATAGTTCTAAAGTAAAACATAATTTTTCCCAATATTTCTTATTCTCCATTCTAAAACAAGTGAAGATTTTAAAGTTGTCTGAGTTTAGGCATTCCATTCCATCAGAATGAAAAAACAGGATCTGACTTGTGAATCAAAACACTATTTGTTAGCCCAGATTTTACCAATTTTTTTTTTCTGTACTCACAGGTCCAACTGCTACTAATCTTACATCTATTTACTCAGCAGTTAAGGGCCCAGAGATAGAGTCCCAAGTCCTGGACAGAAGCCAACTGAATACTTCTCTCTTCCATGCCCTTTATCCCAGTCGGCCATCTTGAAAATGTGCGTTGTGTCACTGGAGGAGGCATGTGGGAGCTGACCCTGGAAACCATACTGATGAACGGGCACCAAGGCAGGTGACAGCTGTCACCTAATACACTGCACTCGTTAATCCAAAAGACAGCTTTGGCTCCAAACATCTTTTTCCTCACTACAGTTTTTGGGATCACTCAATTCTCACAGACCCTGAAGGGTGAACTGTGGACAGTCTACTTCTCCATAGTATGACAAGGCAAAACTGCCCCTTCTGTTGCTTCTGTGTAAGACACAGCGAGAGTCAAACACAGATACAATGCAGTTTACTCTCTAAGAAGGCAGAATCTGTACCATTATCTTATTTCATACACAAAAGCTTACGCTGATGAGGCAGAAAGTTAAAATACCTTCCACCAACTCAAAGACGACTAAGACTCACTGTTCTAGCATTTTCATGATTAACGGAATCAACTTTTGCACTTAATATTAACGGAACATCCCTGTAGTAGGTTCCCACATGGGCGCTTCTGGAAAAGCCTACACTATTAAATGGACTTCACAGGCGTGGACAAGAAGGGTAATGCTTCCTCCAGAAACTCTCACCGTGCCCAGATCCGGAAGACTCTAAAGGCTTATTGGGAGAGAGGGGGTAGGAAGAGGATGCAAAAGAAACAAAAAGAAGCAAAGAATGAAGACAAGGAATATGATGCAGAGCCAGAACTCTTAAGTCACCCCGCTCCCCAGAAGAGGCAAACCAAGGATGATGCTCAAGTCGACAAACCCTTCTTTGGAACTTCTACCCCTCAGGAACTACTTCCCCCTCCCCAAGATTGAGGTTTTGCTAACTCATCATGAACCAAGCACGTGTAGGCCCCGGATGGGAAGAAGGGGAAGCCCATAAAACACTGGGCACCACAGCATGCAACCTCCTAGACTCTGACCGCGCCCGCCATTTCTGAGGTCAGAAAGGACAGGACCTAAATCCCCAGATCCGTGGTTTCTGCCTGATCGTCACCGGTTCCCAAGGCAACGGCTCCCTCCCAGAGCGGTCCTACAAAGTCCTGGGACGCCGGTGCCGGTCAGGCCCAAGCCAGCCGGGGGCGGGGCGGCAAGCAGAGATGCACCCACCGCGCGCATCTCCCCTAGGCTGGGAGGCAGGGGGCGCAAGCATTGTTACCTGCCCATCATCTGCGACCAAACTGAGGCTCCCGCCGCCCCGGGTGTGGGTCCCACCCCCGGAAGCCCGCCCCCGCCCACCTGGCAGGTGGGCATCCGCGGGCGCGCCCCCTCCCAGCCCCTCCTCGGGTCTCCGCGGCCCGGCGGGGGCTCCAGGGCCGTGGCCCGCGCTCACCGGCCGGGGGCTCGCGCAGGCTCAGGCGCACGTTCAGGTACTCCACCTCCGAGAGGGCGGCCGAGGCGGCGGCGCCAGCGCTCGGGCCCCAGGCAGCAGTGGCGCGGCCGTGGGCCTCCAGACGCAGCGCGCGCAGGGACACCGGCTCGGCGGCCTCCAGCAGCACGTGCCCCGCCACCGTCTCGCCGCTCGAGTAGCAGCCCTTGCGCTCGTCCTCGAAGACCAGACCCAAACTCTTCACGCGGCCCTCGGAGCCCACGGCCGCCGCGGACCCCGCCTCGCCGCCCATCCCGCTGGGCGACGCGGCCGCGCCAAGGAGGTCGGCAGCGGCCCGGAGCCGGGGTCGCGAGCAGAGCGGCGCCGCTGTCACGGGCGCCCGCCGCACGCCGACAGCCGCCGCCGCTGCTGTGCGGTGCTCCGTGGAGCACAAGCGCGCGGTGGGGCCTGTCGCTTTAACAAACCCAGCTGGGACTGGAAAGGGGCCGGGACAGCCCACCCCCGGCGCGCGCCCATAGGCCGGCTGTGAGCCCCGCCTCGTGCCGATTGGTTGTAAATGGCTACTGAGTTATTTCATTGGCGCCCCCACGCACCGGTTGGCGCAGGTAGGTAGTGCGTGATCAGGGAGTGGTGACCAATCGGGATACGCAGGCGTGCACGTGCACAGGGCGCTTATTGGCTGGGGCAGGGCACGGTCCTGGGGCACTGACCAATGGTGAGGCGGTGCGCCCATGTGGACAGATAGTGGGAAACAGTATTTGTTAGGGAGGGGGCGGAAGAGGGAATCTCCGGCTCGCGGCGTGTCAGCCGTTCCTATGGTTACGAACGGGGGCGGGGTTTCTGGCAGCGTGAGGATTGTTTGCAGGAGTCACTGGGTTCACGCTGGAGCAAGAAGTTGTGGCTGCCACTGGCTTGTGTTTATGATTATGTCTGCACTATTCGAGAGGAAATAAATGTCCTGGAAAATGGAGCTCGGCAATATTTCCTTGTGAGATTTGGGGGTCAGTTTCCTCGGAATTTTAATGGGCAATTTGTCATCTGCTAACTTCCAGGTTCCTGAGACCCGCCTCTCCTCGGATTCAGAATTCCCAGCTTAACAGGGAGCCGCAGACAGGAAGAATGGAGGCTGCTGTTCTCAGTCTGGTACAACCCCTAAGGATTTCTGCTCCTAGGCTTACAGCGTCTCTAAACTGGGAATGGCTGGGACAGTAATTCTTCCGGCTCTAAATAAGGTCATCAGTCAGGTTGTTTCTAAACAACACCAACCACCCAAGTTTCTGCCCCACCCGAAAGGATTTCCCGACTCAGTATCATAGTCCACGAAAACTTCCGTTTACCTTGATGAGTGGTTCTCCACCCTCACAGGTTCTTTTGCCTGTTTTCATTTTCACTTTCTTCTTTAATCTTCTATTCCTGCTCTATTCTAAATTTCTTTTACCGTCTAGAATAACTGCCACTGTCTGGCCATCATTTTCTAACACTTTTATGTTCTTATAAAAATTCCAAGTTTGTGAGCCATCATGGATTGATTAATCTCATATTGAGATTTCAAATCTTTCCTGCTGATGTAGCCATTTTTTTTTTCTTTTTTTGGGGGGGGAGGGCGTGGGTGAGAAGATTGGCCCTGAGCCAACATCTGTTGCCAAGCTTTGTCTTTTTGCTTCGGGAAGATTGTCCTAAGCTAACATCTGTGCCAGTCTTCCTCTATTTTATGTGGGATGCCACCACAGCGTGGCCTGATCAGCTGTGCTAGGTCCTCCCCTGGGATCTGAACCTGAGAACTCCGGGACACTGAAGCAGAGTGCATGAAATTAAGCACAATGCCACTGGCAGGCCCCTTTTTTATAAGGATATCAAGCTAAAGGTGGCTCTATTGCTCTCTTTGGGTTTAGAGATTATTAAGGTGGAACTTTAATGAGACTTTACAAGTTCAAAGTTTCCTTATCCCTTCTCAAAGAAAATGGAAAAGGCCAGAAATCCAGCTCTGCTTGAGGTTCTGAAATAGCTGTTATTCTCTGACCTCTTTATCTAGAAAGCCCCCAATATGCTGTTACTCTGCCACTTTCCTGTGTAACACAACCTGATCTTATATATGTACTTGCGTATTGTCCATCACCCCCAATTGAAACTGAGAATTTGTTTTTATCATTGTTGTCCCTGTAGTGCCTAACACAGAGATGAGCATACAAGTGCTCAATAAATGTTTGTTGACTGACTGACTGACTGACTGAATCCCAACTCATGTAGTTTTATTAGTTCTGCAATAAATGAATAGCACTCTGCCTCCTACTCTACTACACCTTCATCCTCTCTAGGCATATGTTCTTCTCTCTCTCCCCACCAAATTAAGTGGCTGGGAAAGGGGGAAGGACAATGCCATAACAGTGTCCGAAAGGCAGAATTGCGTATATGACATTATGTGCTGAGAACGACCAGACTCTCTTTGTTCATTTGTCGGTTAATAATACTTTGACTACAGGTGGCAGCATGCGTGACCAATAGTGGCTTGAAGGATATGTGTGTTTCTTGTTTACTTAATAAGAAGTCCAATAGTAGGCATTCTCAGGGATGGTTCATCAGACTCCTTTTATCTCTCTCCTCTGCCACACTCAGTTCCCTTCCTGGTGTCATTGGTTACCACAGCTCTAGGTATCTTATCCTCATGAAACAGAATTCAAAAAATAAAGCAAGGGAGTCCATACCCACCAGAAAGGGGGGGCGGGGGTGTTTTTCCTTGTCCTCTTCTCTCTTCGCAGAAAGAAAATATATTTTCTGGAAGCCCCCACAGACTTCTTACATGTTATTGGCCAAAACTGAGCCATGTTTGCACTGATAGGTTATTAAATGGTAGAAGGAAATGAGGTTTTTACAGTTCACTCAGACGAATGATTCTTCTCTGCAGGCTGAACAAAATCAGGACTCACTTATCAAGGAAGAAGGGCAAACGGCTATTGAGTGGTCAAGCTAGAGCCATTTCACTGGCTAATCTGAGTCTGACCAAGTTTCCTATAGAGCAGAGCTGCCTCAGCTAGAGCTTAAAAAAGGAGGATAAACAAACAATAGCTATTCTACAGCTAGACAGGAGGTAATTACATGACGATCCACCTCTTTCACAGATAAAATTTCCATTTTTATTGTGCATTCATTATAGCAGGCCTTCAAGTTCAGCTAACGTTAATATAGCAGCATATAAGTTTTTAAAAAATCCAATCTGACAGTCCCTGTCTTTTAATTGGTGTTTTTAGACCATTTACGTGCAATGTAATCATTGACATGGTTGGTATTATGTGTATCCTTTTATTATTTGCTTGGTTCATGCCTTTGTGTGTGTGTGTGTTTCTCCATTCCCCCTTTCCTGCCTTATTTTCAATTATTTGAATATATTTTAGTAATCCATTTAAATCTATCCATTGAGTTTTGGACTATATCTCTTTGTAGTTTTTTTAAAGCAATTATTCTAGGGATTAATATCCCTCTTTATGTCATAGTTGGCATGTATATTACATCCACGTGTATTGACAACCCCACCAGACAGTATTCACATTTTTGCTTCAGATAGTCATACTTTTTTTTTTTTTAAAGATTGGCACCTGTGCTAACATATGTTGCCAATCTTTTCTTTTTCTTCTTTTTCTCCCCAAAGCCCCCTGGTACATAGTTGTATATTCTAGTTGGGAGTGCCTCTGGTTGTGCTATATGGGATGCCACCTCAGCATGACCTGATGAGTGGTACCATGTCCATGCCCAGGATCCAAACCAGAAAAACCCTGGGCTGCCAAAGCGGAGAACGTGAACTTAACCACTCAGTGATGGGGCTATCCCCTAATCATGCATATTTTAAAGAACACAACAGAAAAATAGTCTATTGTAATTACCCAGATGTTTAGTATTTCTATTGCTCTTTCTTTGTTCCGGAAGTTGCAGGTTTCCTCAGGGAACATTTCAGGTTGAAGAATTTCCTTTAGTATATGTTTTAGAGAAGGTCTCCCTGCAGTGAATTCTCCTAGTTTTCCTTCCTCTCAGAATGTTTTTATTTTGACATTCTTGCTGAAAGATATTCGTGCTGGATATAGAATTCTGGCTTGGCAGTTGGCAGTTCTTTTCTTTGAGCATTTTACAGATGTTATTCCATTGCCTTCTGAGAACCTTGATAACTGATGAGAAAACAGGCATTTCTTCAAACTGTTATTTCCACATATGTAAAGGGTCATTTTTTTTCTGTCTGCTTTCAAGCGTTTTTCTTTAGCTTTAGTTTTCAGTAATTTGATTATAATGTGCATGGGTTTGATTTTCTTTGAATTTCTTCTGTTTGGGGTTTTCTGAGGTTCTTTATGTCTTTCACCGAATTTATGTTTCTGCGTTAGATATGAGATATTGGAAAATTATATCAGAGTCTTAAGGACCTGTGGGACAATATAAAAAAAATGAAGATTCCCTCACACTCCAGACTGTGGGGTCCTCTTTTCCCATTTCGTCTCGCCAGAAAGATAAATTTTCTCCTTGGATTTTAGGTTTCTGTGCCACTGCCACTGCCGCCACCACCACCACCACCACCACCATCACCACCTCAGCACAGCTCCAGGGTGGGAGCCACCCTGAGGGGAGGACCAGGAGAAAAAAGAGAAAAAAAGAAAAAAGCAAAATCTATGTGAATCTGTATTGATATAATTAAATGATTACGTAAATAAATAAATGGAGGTGAAGAGACAAATCTTTCTTTTTTTAAAGATTGGCACCTGAGCTAGTAGCTGTTGCCAATCTTCTTTTTTTTTTTTTCCTCCCCAAAGCCCACTGGTATATAGTTCTATGTTTTAGTTGTGGGTCCTTCTAGTTGTGGGATGTGGGATGCTGCCTCACCGTGGCCTGATGAGTGGAGCCATATCTGTGCCCAGGATCTGAACCGGCGAACCCCTGGGCCACAGAATCGGAGCGCATGAACTTAAGCGCTCGGCCACGGGGCCGGCCCCGAGACAAATCTTCTTTACAGAAGAGTTCCCAATAATTGATGTAGATTCTCCTCCCTCTCTCCTTGAGGGTGTGCTAGACTTGGTGACTTGCTTCCAAGACAGCAAACGCTATTTTGGGCAGATTAACATCACCAGTTTTAGGTTAGGTTGATAGCATGTAACCCTGGTAGGACATCTTGAGAAGGGCACTTCACCTCTTTGATATCCCTCCCCAAATCCAGAACTGCAGTCTAAGCATGGGCAAGACATCAGGCACACCCAATTTGAAGGACATTCCACAAAACGCCTGGTGAGTACTCCTCAAAACTCTCAAGGCTGTGAAAACAAGGAACGAGTGAGAAGCTCCCAGACCAGAGAAGACTAAGGAGCATGAGCACTAAAGGCAGCATGGTCTCCTGGATGGGATCCTGTGGCAGAAAGAGGACATTAGTGGAAAATTTAGGGAATGCAGATGAAGCCTGGAGTTTAGTAATAGTAATGTCCAAGTCTTGGTTTCTTAGTTTTCAAAAATGGACCAGGGTCATATAAGATGTTAACAACGTGGGAAACTGGGCGAGGGGTGCATGGAACTCTGTACTACTACCTTTGCAGGTTTTCTGTAAATCTAAAATGATTCCAGAGTAAAACTTTACTTAAGACAGCAACAACAACAGGGATGTTTTCCATGCTCTCCTCCTTGCAGGAACCCTTTTTCTTGGTTCTCTGACTAAGATAGGGGTTCTCTTGGTCGTTCACTACCCGTGCCTGCTTTGTAGTTCCATGCTGGGGATCCCCGCACTTCCAAGCCTGGAAGTAAAAAGAGAGAAAACCCTCCACAAAACTCAGCTTGGTATCGTTTGCTTTTGAAGTTTTGACTTCCGTCCCCAAGCCACTTGCTATTGTCAGTGCTCAGATAGTTGCTGCTCTTCTCCCCTTCTTCCTTTTCCTCCTCCTCCTGTTTTAATTTTTTTTTTCCCCAGAGTTTTAGTTGTAAACACTGGGGGAGAGAGGCTATAGTGTGCTGACTCCATGTTGCCTAGCACCAGAATTTATCTTTCCTGATCTTCCAGGAAATTAATCGCTGCATAACGACCAACACTCGCTCGTTATCTTTTTGTGTAGTGCACACCTTTCATCTTGGTTTTGCCTAGACATTTTTATCTTGTAAATTTAATTTGTGCTCACTCACACTTAGATCTTAATTTAGGGGCTGCACCTATATGCCTGCTGATGTTTGAAATTCATTTATTGCTTGAATTCCTGTTTCACAATCAGAAATAAAGTGTACAAAGCAAAGATCTCTAGGAAGAAGGAGAAGGACCTAACCTCTATCAAACAGCCCCTGGACGCCAGTCTGGATGCTCGGCATATGCAGTCCCATTCAACCTCACGATCACCCTGTCAAGGGGCATCTTGGGACAGAGGTTCCAGTTTGCAGACAAGGAGCCCCAGGTCTAGAAAGATGGAGTGCCTTGCTTCACATTCCAGAGCCAAAAAGTGACAGGGACAAGGTCAGAACCAAGATCTTCTGTCTTCGTTACACTGCCTTCAATGTCGAAAGTAAAGGGAAAAGAGAAAGGAAGGAAGGGAGGTGGAATGGAAGAGAAATGAAGAGGGAAGAAGATGAACTTATTTTAATAAGTAGGAAGAGCAGATATAAGCCACCACCAGGATGGCTTCCCTTCCATCGTGCTACATGCGCTGTTGACGCTGAGGTGCTGCTCTGTGTTGGCAATACTCTCCTGGAAATGGTCAGCACTGTGCTGGAGCACCCTGTCTGTCCAAGACCTAAACTGACCCTCTATCTTTTTCCAAAAATGATTTGTGGCAGCTGCAGAGGAAATAACTGAAATGAGGTTTTTTTTAGTTGAAGAACAGTTTGAAGGGAGAAAGCGTATGAGGGAAGAAGGCAACTGAGGACAGAGAAACAGAACAAAACAAAATACACCCAGAACCAGAAAGACTGCAGACGAGTTTTGTTTGAGTCCCCATTTTGATGAAGAGCCAGGAGTTCATGTAAGGGCGCAAGAACTCTTGTTCTGAACAGCAGCAAGGTCCTGCCTGCTTCTTGCATGGTGTGCACAGTCACAGTGTAGTTGAATTGCGATGGCGACAAAACGGGCAGAGCAAGGAAGTCTTCTTTCCTGGGGATGAACTAATAGTAAGTTACAATTCCATTATTAAAACTGAACAGGCAAACATGAAATCAAGACATATAAGATAAGTAACAATCAAGGGTCTGAAATAAATGTGATTAGGTCTATATCAAATGCAGAATCGATGGGAGAAGCTCGTCTGTGACCAAACAGCACTTGTTTTACGTGACTGCCCTTTACTGCCCCTCTCCCCTACAAGGATCTGCTCTGATGGAAATGGCCATGTGATAACTGAGTCTCTTACTGATTTCACAAAACTCCTCCTGGCAAATATTTGGTGGCTCAGGAAGAATTCTGATTGAATTAAATAATAAAATTATCATAAAAATGATGTAAATTATAAACACTTTAAAAAATCACCTTATGAACTGAGGTCCATGGAGTCAAGACTGTGTTTTTCAATGGACTCATGCACAGAGCGTGTGAGTGGGGATGAGTCCCATGCTCCTATCTGGGTCCCATTCAATCCCGTTGCTCCCAGTTTAGTATCTACATTTGAAGCATACGTGCATTTATATAGTTTTATTTGTTTGTCCTACACTTATGCACACATACGCATAAAATCTACTCTAGTTATGGATTCTGCATGTTGTTTTTCTTTACTTCGACGTATGCTGGAGTTTGTTTTATCAGTATGTCAAGGTCTGCCTCATGGTTTTCATGAGTAGCATAGGATTTCATTGTGTGACTGCACCATTGTTTGTATAATCATAGCCTACTAATAGGCATTTAGAGTCCTTTAGATTTGGGGCTATTAATAGTAATAATGCTGAACACCCTTGTCTAGGTCTTTTTGTATACGTATGTAATTATTTCCCCTAGGATAGAAACCCTGGAGTATAATTGCTGGGTCAAAGGATATGCCATTTTTAATTAAATGGGTACTGCCATATTGCCCTCCAAAAAGAGTATATCCTCATTAACAGTGCACAGGATCTCTTTTTGTTGTGCCAACGTTGGATAGAACCAGTCTGAAATTTTTACCAATCAGATGAGGGAAAATGGTATTTCATTGGGCATTAAATTTACCTTGTTATGACTATGGCTGGACATGAATTAGATTGAGCATATTTTCATATGGCATGCTGTTCTATGACATGGCAATTCATCTTTCTTGCCCTTTTTTTTCTACTAGGTTATTTGTCCTTTTTCTCATTGAATTGCAGCTATTTTTTATGTATTCTTAGTATTAAAATTTTCTTATAGCTTATAAGGTTTCCTCTCGCACATTTTTGGTCTTTTGTCTTACAGATGCTTTTAATTTCAATTAAATTAAATATAAATTCATTTACTATAGTCAGGTTTGTCAATCATTTATGTTATGATATATTTTCTTTAAATCATATGCAGCCATTCCCCTTTCCATGATTATAAAATCTTTATCTATATTTATTTTAATATTTTTGTAATCTTCTTTTTAACTTCCTTATTTTACTCCTAGAGATAGCTAATTTCTCCAACACAGTTTGTTGTAATTTATTTATTCCCTTTTTCCACTGAGTGAAATATTCATTTTTATTGCATTATGAATTCACATAAGTCCATCAGTCTGTCTTTTAAAAAAATTATTCTCCCCTGTACTGCTCTGTTGTCTGTTCCTGCACCAAAACATTTTGTTTATTTCGGATTTTTCTATAATATGTTTTGATAACTAGTGGAGCAAGTATCCACCTCATTTCTAGTCTTTAAACATTTTATTTTGGCCATTTTTATACATTTTATCTTCCTGAAGAAATTTTGGGACTAACTTGTCGGATTTTCATTAAAAGACTTTTGATATTTGATTGGGATAGCATTGGGAGAATATTGAATTTATCAGTTAAATTGTTGAGAGCGAGCAGTTTTAAATATTGAGTTTTCCTATCCAGAAACTTATGTGTTTTTCAATAAAATTTTATCTTTTTCTTCATATAGGTCTTGCACTTTTCTGGTGAGGTTCCTTGAATATATTTTCCCTGCTCCTTTGACGTAATGGGGTTTTGTTTCCTCCTGGACGTTTTCAGATTGGTTATTGCCAGTGCACAGGAAAACTGTTTTGTATCTGGTTCCTGCAGGTCAGCATTTGGTGGACTCTCTCCATCTGTTAGAATACCAGGCTCAGACAAGCTTTTCAGGTTTTTCCAAGGGTCAAGTAGATCACAGGCTAATGGGGTGAAAAAGGTATAAAGCTATTAAAACCATAAATCCCCTCACATCATCTGAAATTAACTTGCCTGTGTCATTTGGATTGCTGGGGTTTACAAAGGAACAGTATCAGGCTAGGTAGGGAAGCCTTGGCACTCCCCACGGCACGTGTGGGGATGGCGGGATGGCTGGCCTTTAGCATCAGCTCCAGGACTGCCCCCTGCTGAGTGGGCTCCTGTGAGGTTCACAGGCATATGGAGAGCAAGTCTGTGCCCCAAGTGAAGGTCACAGGGACAGTGAGAAGAGCAGGGGCTCTGATGACTTCTAGTACTTGTGTAACATTGAGGAAGGGACTAAACTCTTGGCTTCAGATGCCTTCCTTGCTGGTATCTGTCATGTTAGATGGAATATTCCATGAAGGTACCTGGTATACAATAAGTGGTCAGTAAGTGGTGGCCCTTGTCATTGGTAGGATGATGGTGGTGGAGATGGGCTGTAAGTC